TTAAAAAAACTTTGTAGGTGATGAAAAATAGTCTTTCCTTCTATACTTCTAGGGCAGGGGACAGTCAACTTTTTCTGTAAAGAGCCAGATAGTAAATATTTTAGGCTTTGTGGACCATCTTGTCTCGGTCTCAACTGTCAAGCAGCCACAGACGATGGGTAAATGAATGGGTGTGGTTGTGTTCCAATAAAACTTTGTAAGAGGTCGTGGGCTAGATTGGTTCTCAGACTGTAGTGTGCTCACTTCACACTGCTGTCCAGTGTATAGGTTGAAAAATAGTACGTAGGCTGCTTTAGTGCATAGAATGAAAAATACAATAAAAAGGAGAAGGGAAAGCAGTAAGGATTCAGTGGAAGTGGGAGGGAGTAGGACAAAGGAAGGCAGGAAAATCAAGGCAAAGTACAGCACAAACACAGGATGATGAGAATGGGGGTGATAGGACATATTGTGGAGGTCTGTATTTATATTGGAAAGCCTCTGGTAAAAAGATTTATTTTGAAGCATTGGAGGCCATAATAGATTGGAGTACATAAAATTTTAGGCAGATTAAGGGTGTGATATAAAGTCCTGATATCAGTTGCTTTTCCCAGGCATTTGGAATTCAGTCAATGTATATATCTTCTTACATGTGTTTTTAAGTCTATCACAGTTTTTATGTACACCCTGACTTCTGGCTTGGTATCCTATTGGTAAAAACACAGCTAGTAACTCATTTCATTAGTTGTTTTTGTTTGTTTTGTTTTGTTTTAAATTGGAGCATTGAGTCCAGAGGGATTTATAGCTGTGCATGATAAAAGATGGAGGTTCACATTTTGAGAGTTGAGCAATTTTTCTAAAAATGACTAATTTAATTGTACAGTTGGTATGTCTGTCAGAAGTAGCTTTTTGTTTTATAGTAAGAGCATAGAAAATTAGAAAACAGATTGGTGGCTTGTGAATAAAGGCTAACCAGAGAAATAGGAATAGTACAGCATGGATATTATTATTATTATTATTATTATTATTATTATTATTATTATTATTATTATTATTATTATGGCAGCTGGCTGGTGTGGGGATCCAAACCCTTGACCTTGGTGTTACAGGGCCACACTCTAACCAACGGAGCTAACTGGACAGCCCAGCATGGATCTTATGAATTACTTAAAGCTAGAACTGGATTGTTATAATAAAATGTTTTTAAAGATATATTTATCTTGAAGCAAATATATTTCATATTTTGACTCTTTAGAAAGTTTCATGTATGTATCTCTACACGTTTCTCTTATTTCTTATGACATATCTATTAGGAATATCTGCTTTCTGAAAGTATATAATAAGAAAGGGAGAAAGTAAACTGTTCTAAGACTAAAACTTTTAGAATGGAAATAATGTAGGTTTTTTTCCTTTGTTTAAAAATTATGAAATTGTACAGTTTTATAGAATTATAAAATATTTAAAGTTTGACAATCAAGATTTATATTGTGAAATTCTATGAAAAAATTCTTTTTATGTTAAAATGAGCTGTTAGGTATATCGAAGTAGAAAAATGTATATGTGTTTTTATTACTGACATCTGTAAATAAATAAGAATGAAAAGGGCATAGAATCTTAATTATAGGATGACTAATGGTGTGTGTAAACAGAATTAAAGACTGACGTGTGTGTGTGTCTATGTAAGAGTGAGTGAGTGTGAGTGACTGGCCAGTGCGGGGATCAGGAATCCAAACCCTTGTCCTTGGTGTTATCAGCACCATGCTCTCCCAAGTGAGCTAACTGGCCAGGCCCTGACTTTTGAAATTATAATTTAAAATTAATTATGACTTGTAATTATAATTTAATCTATGGACAGGAGACTGATAGTTTTTTAGATCCTAATTCACACTAAAATCTGTACTTTAAAAGGTGAAACTACTTTTCCTTTTAGAAAAAAATAATTTCATCATTCTAATATTACTTCAAAAATTTTTTGACAGTAAGAAATTTGCTTTAGATTCTCATTCCTGACAAGAATTATTTTGTATTCAATGGGCAGTATTTCCTAAAGAAATTCCACATTACATCTTTAAAAAAAAATGTTTTAGTTACTTTGTTCTCAGCCTGCCTGTTCTGCTTTTTTTTTCCCCCATGAACACATTTAATGCAACAAGGCGAGAGTCCTTTCTCACTGCTCTGTGAATCTCTTCCCTGTTTATCCTTGTTCACACCCTGAAATTCAGACTTGTGTACTACATTCTTTCTGAACAATCTCTTCCTTTCACCCCTTATTTTTTCTTTTCCTTGTCATCTTTCCTTTCTGCTCCTTGGCTGCACTGTTATACTTTTGCTTGTTTTCTAGTTCATTGTTTTATATTCTTTTGATATGATGCTTTCACTCCCTTTACCCATCAGAACGAGAGAATTCCTAGACAATTCTTTTTCACGACTCTTCTAAAAACTTTTCTTAGAAATATTTGAAGAACACTTTAGAAGCCTACTCTCAAAGTTTCAGTTTAATGTAAAGGAGGAAAAAACTCTTAAAATTTTAGTGGAAATATTTGTGATATTGCATCTATTATATATCATGGATCAGTGTCTCCTAATGTCAATGTCAGCATTCAACAGATAATTTATAATTAAATGAAAATATTAACACATGCATATTATTCAAATAATGTTCTAATTATGATGTCCATCATTAGGTGTAGCAAAAACAGTTGCATTTTGAAGGTTTTTTTCCATCTAATATAAAGAATTATTTAATTTGGCAAATTAAATAATGTTGTAGTGAAAATATTAAAATGACAATAAATTAGTTTTAAATGTGAAATATCCCAACTTAATATTGCTCATAAAGTTTATTTAAAGAATGTAAAATATGGCTGGTTACTGTTCACTCTACGCAAAACTTCATAGATGAATTATGGTGTCTGATATTAATCAGGTTAAAGGATCTCCAGTGCTTGAACTGTGTTGTGGATTATACCTATATTGCTTATGGTTTTTCCCCTCTCTTTGCCCATATTAGCAATCTGCTTTTGTACTTTGACATTCAGGATTTCCCTAGTGAATTTTGTCACAGAAAAAAGAGAATCATCAATATCGCAGTTAAACTTGACTTTCAAAGCTAATAGTATCTCATTTGGGGGCTCAAATTTAATAAATTTTCTTTGATTCTGGGTGAGTTTTTAAACATCAAACAATGAATTGGCCAGGGTGCAGTAAAATATTTAGATCTATTGACTATGGTTCAGAAGGGTAGAAGGGAAAACACTAGTGGTTTGATGTTGATAAATTCTTAGTACCTTAATCCACATTAATGTTTTCTTTTATCTGAGTGTACATTGGTGACAAAAAAAGCAGAAAAGGTATCCATACATAAAAATATAAAGCCTAAAGCAAATATATTTGTAAAATATAATTTATTTCATTTTGCTAAACCAGTTTAATAGCATTCTCATCCTGACTGAAGACTCTGTAAAATGGTTGCTTCAGATAAATTTACGTTTTGAATTGGGACTCCAGCATGCATATAGTACTCACACCATCATAACAATTGCATCATAGTGTCTGTTTTACAGCATACACTTTGACATTCACTTGTTGAAAAAGGTCCTCAGATCAACTTGGAAAATACAAGGATTTTTATACCCTTAGATTAGCATGAAAAATTAAAGATGTCATCAGGTGTTTGTGTGTGTTTGCTGGTTTAAGGAAACCCTATAGAGTATGATAGTTTTATGAAATGTGTGTATTTCTTATGTAATTCATTCATATAATAAAAAATAATTCAAGCAGTTTTACAGTCTGCCCAAATAGAATAGAAAAGTGAAGTTTTCTATGTGATATTTTTGCCAAGATACATTTGAAAGTGCTCAGATAAAATTAGAGCTATAAATATATTTATTTGGACAATTAATGTTATTTTTATAGTTATCCCCATCCTTGACCTTTGCTACCTTATAAAACTCTTTTTCCCTGCAGCTTTAAGCTAATTATATAATATGTATGAAATATATGATAGCAAAGAGATAAACTTTTAAAACATATTCAAACATAAGGGAAGTTAGAAAATATGCCTATATATGAAAACTCCTATTATTAAACTATATGGTTAAAAATTAGAGCTTACTGAACTTAAATGCAAACTGAACTGTGGAATTCTTGAGGCTTTTACTAAGTTTGGAAATTAAAAACCAAAATACCTGTTTCTGAGCATTTCCTTTTATATATTTACATTATATAGGGAATATTTTCTCATTTGTCCAGAAGGTGGCAGTGGGATATCAACTGCATATGTTTCCATACTGGCTGGAGAATTGGTGTTTCTCCTGTATCCTTGATGTGTTTGTATTGTTACCTTTCCGAATACTTAAAATATAGTACAAATACTACTGATTTTATCTCATTTATATTATTTTGAAGTTGTGTGACCAACTTGGTTTATGTGTATTTAGTTATTAAAGACTCAAATTTAATAAACTCCTGCAATTTCAGAAGAGTGGAAAGGCCAAACCTCTTCCTTGTATATTTTTAAGTATCCTTTTGTGTTGAGTGTATTTGTTGTTATTCCAGGTACATATTATTGAAGTTTTCTTTTCAAAGACTAGTTCCTAATAACTATCTTGTCTAATATATATCAGTTAATATCAGTTAAATTAAACATGTCATTAAGAAAGCAATAATAATCATTAGACTGCTATTTGTTTTTGATTTTGTGAGTGTTTTTTTTCTTTCTCTTTTCTTTTGAGGGTGGAACAGTGAAAAAATAATTCAAAACCTCTTGATCAGAAGAGCTCCAGTGACTCTTCTTCCCCTCCCTCATTTTAAGCAGGAGGATGCTTTTTCTTCTTAACATTCTCCCCCAGCACTCTGAATTAGAGATTTATTTGCAACGAAAAATCAATTAGTCCTAAATTTATTCATGGATTTCAGGTCCAGCGATCAATGCAAGTCCACTCAGTGGGCTCAAGGGGACCCAGTTCATCCCAGTTAATGTGTCTGAAGGGGAATTACCATTGATGCTGTTTTTTTCCCTTTAGGTCAGAGATCAGATCTCGTTGTCACGGACTGCGGCAAGTAGGAATGACTTCACCCTGCAGCTACCCAAATTGCACCTGGAGACCTTTGCAATGGAGGGGCTCAAGGGCGGGCCAGAGGTTGTAGCATGCCAGGTTAGAGTCTAAATAACATTGTTTGCTTCTGAGACATATAGAAAAATAAATTGTACTAACTGGAGAGAATGAAAGCCGCAAAGTATTGTGAATAATTTAAGGGAGATACAAATACATTTTTCATCATTTTTCTTCTATCACGTAATAGTACATTTCACAAAAAATTGTCTTTTTTTGTTTAAAGCCTAGAACTAGCCTATTAAACTAATCCAGAAAAGTATTTTTATGAAGGAAAATATGTGTTTCATGGCAAAGTACGGTATTAAAAGAATTACTTTCCTATCAGCTGAGGACAATAAGACACCAGGCTGTTTCTATCTTTAAACTAGTCTCAGTTTGTTGCTCTTGTTGTTTTAAAATAAATCACTTTAGATAAAATTATCAAGAGAGGTACCTGAAAGTTTTTAACATTAATCCCAAAATATATCCAACATTTCTTATGTGGGATAATTTAATTTCAGCAAAACTAGAAGAGTATTTTACCTTTTAATGTTTACTTCTAATGAACATTGTAAGATGTGCAAACTGGGTCATTCAATTTATGAAACTCAAAATACCAAATCATAAAACCTCAAATAACTTTAAAATAAAGTTAATAAAGAAATATATTTTCAGAAACATTCATTTTCAAATGCTGTATGTATCCTTCTATTTTATGCACTATTATATTATTGTGATCATTTTTTTCTTAAAACGTTTGTTTTTAATTGGACAAAACAAATTCAATATGTGCTTTATTCTCCTTTTAATGCCAAATACCTTCATTAGAAAAATTTATCAACATTATGTAAATTATAGGAAGCCTGATATTTCAAAAGAGATTATCCTTGTTCATTAGCGCCCTACATTTTTTAGTGTATTTAAAAGAGAAATATCTCTTAAAACTCAGTCTCTTTTACATTTTGAGGTTTAAAGTAATCTTTTCAATCTTCAGTTTATGACCCTTTGGAATTTTAGTTTTGTACAAAATTAATGTCAGTCCATGCTGAGCTATGTTGTTTTTTTTTTTTTACATGTTCCATATTTTAATTTGTTTTCGGTACCCAAATTAATGCTCTACAAAGAAAAAAACACTCATTGCTTTTTTCATTAGACTGTTCATCAGTGTATCTAAAATATATATAATTGTAAAACTCAGCATGAAATATTTTTATTTTCTCTTATAGGGTAGAATACTGTACCATTATTTAAGATGAGATTAAAATGTATGTTTTAAATTTGATTGTCACTAATTATATATTTATCATAACCACAAATACAGTATGACTTGAGGTTTTTCTAGTGGTTATGAAATAATCCTTTGACTATTTCAATTCCAATTCTCACAAGGCTTAATACTTGTCATAATTCACAAATAAAGACTTCCCGCAAACTGGATTTTGGTAGTTTGGAAAGAGGCTGATTGTTAGGAATGCTGTTTTGGAGGACAAAGCACGAACTCTCTATGGTTCTGATGTCTGTGAACAGCAAGAAGCCAGTGTAGAGACCTGTAGTTTAAACTATTATCTTTTTCAGGTTCTAGTAAAAATAGTTATGCACAATTTTCCACTGACATGCTGTAATATACATTATAGGTTAATAATATACATTGTAGTTAGAAAATTAGAAGACATTAATAAATAATAGATAACATTTCAGTGAACAGTTACTGTGAACCAGGCACCATGCTTAACTCTTTGAATATATCATCTCATTTAATTCTCACAATAGCCCTGTCAAATAGATGGCACTCTCTCCATTTTATAATTGAAAAACTACCACCACAACAGGTAATTCTTCAGATCAACAACAAATAAATGGCAGAGCCCAGAGCCAGGATTATAGGTATTCCTATATAATTCCAACTGTATTATAGGTATAAGCCTAAGAGTATTTGACTGCAAAGCTGAACTAGTAAATCTGACACTAAGAAATTTAGACACCATTTATGTTAAATGGTAAGAATAAACCTTGGAAATCTATAATGGAGTTTTTCTTCTGTTTATAAGATATTAAGTATACATTTATATATGATATAGGTCATAGTTTATGCTGCATTGTAGACAGATTCACAGATAAAAAATTGTTTCCATTTGACAGCCTCTACTTTTCACCTTTCTGTAGTATAAAAATGTGTATTTATGCTAAGTGTAGCTACTTATTTAGGAATTCAGTATTTGTTTAGTTTTGGATTCTGACTGTGCCAAAGTGAACTATTCAGAATACATGGCCTTTGATTATGAGGAGAGGATCACCATGCAGGGTGTGGTAGTGTGTAAACCATTGGCCAACCTGCACAGCTATCATTTGAGCAGTAGAAGCTGAAATTTTCTGTCTTTTCCAATGGGACAACTGTATTATAGGTATAATCCTGGATGGAAGGGAGGCCAGTGAATGCTATTGAAAAGGCAGGTAGGGTAAGTGGATTTCTTATTCTCTCTGAGCCCAGAAGTGCACATGACTGATGTTCCCCTACAGGAGAAGATTCAGTTCAACTAGTGTCTGAGATCTGCTAGCTTTTTGCCCCAATTTCCTTAGCTGCAAAAGTGTAATGCTACCAATTTCCCATGCTTGTAGTAGGGCTCAGTGAGGAAATGCATGTAAAGTAGAGAACACAGTTTCATTACTTTCAAGGTGTGTATATGTTTGATTTTGAGGAATGGATATTTAGAATCTTTTTCTCCACATCTTTTAATTTGGTTCCTTCACTCTTTCCTGTTTCTTCAAAAGATTTAAATAATTTTGATCAAGCACAGCCTACTGTAGCTCCCTATTTACTTTTCCACGTCCTGTGATGTTCCAGTGAGGCCATGTCTCCAGTGAAACCGTTTGTCTAAGCTCCTATGGCAAGTTTAAACTATTATACCAGTGCTTTTACCTCCCAAAGAAAAGTATATCAGACTTTCACTTCAATACTGAGAAAACTAAAAACACCCAGATTAGACCAGTTAGCTTTAATTGATAATTCCAGTACAGTGTGTATGCAGAGGACTTTGTAAAAAAAAAAAATTCTGTGCATACTTTATAAAGATAGTACCTGTTATTCATTATCTTATACCCTGAATTGTGGTCTTTCAATAATTATGGTATATAATGCTGGTAGTATCTGGCAAATATTAACAGGCATCCAATCGATGTTTGTGTCTCTATCCCCACTCAACAATAAATGACAAACAACCATTAAAGGAATAATAACAATAGCCAACATTTGTTGAGTGCTTACTCTGTGCCAGTTCCTATGCAAAGCACTTTATATTGTGATCTCATTTAATCTCTATAACAGCTTTATGAACGAAAGGTGCTCTGCTTTTATCCATTTTGCAAGGGAGAAACCAAAGTTTATTGTGATCAAGTGAGATGTTAAAGGTCACATTTCCAACGAGTAGGGTAACTGGTTTATTCATACTTTGAATCATGCCATTCTGCTTTCTGTAAACTATGGCTTGCTGGCTTTTTGTTTGTTAGCTTTTTAAGATGGCTGAGAGAGAAAAAGAATAAAGGTAGGTTCTACCTGTAGAATACAATTTCATTTGTGCAGAAATAATGGGGAGAATAGAAATCCAAAAGAGGGCTAACTGGGCAAGTTACTTAACCTTTCTCGGCCACTTAATCTGTGAAAATGAAGATAATAAAAGTTTCTAACTCGTACTGTTAGTGTGAGGATTAAAGGGGCTCATTCATTGCAAGTGCTTAGAATAGTGACAGGTAAGTTGTAAATACTTATTATTTGTTGGCTTGCCACTAACATGAAAGCCTCATGAGGCCAGGAACTTGACATTGTTCGTGGCTGCATCCTCAGCACTCAGAACCATCCCTAATACACAGGAGGTCCTTAGTATATATGAGCGAATGGATACTTGATTTCAGGTGCTTTACAAGATGACTCAGGAAGCTACTTTTGTCTAAGTTGTGCATGCCCGTAAGATACTTGGTGTCAGTTTTTTACTTCTAGGCCCACATCAGTTAAAAGGAAAAAAATCTCCCAAATCATCTTATAAAAGTGTTTGAGGCTTAGCACATAATAACTATACCTCTGGAAATGTAGTATATTTTGTAAGTATATGTTTATAAACACTTCATTAGAGAGGGTTCATTGTGAAACCATTTATTTATGAAGATTTTAAACAACAAAGCCTTCACCATAAATACAGTAATCCTTTAATCACCCCTAACCCACAATGTCATTACATAGTCCTTGCTTGGTATGTTTTTTAGTTATGTGTTATATGCACAACTTTTGGGATAACATGGTGTTTCATGTTTATGCTTATTTTCCAGGCATAGAAATTTCTTTGAGCTATTTTGTTGTGTTTATAAAGATAAATCATAAAAAGTATCTTGAAGGGAATTTTGTTACAATTTTTATATATAGAAGGATGAAATAAATGATATTAGTACCTAAACTGTCAGGGAATAAAAATACCAAGAATTACTCTTAGTTATTTTTTACATATGTTCTCTGTTGCATTACTTAGTACAGCAGACTTCTAATTGCTTTGCAAGAAATTTCTACATTTTTTTGCATACTTAGAAATTAAAGAGATGTTAGGCAATTTCATTTAGAAGATTGTACCATTTCGATATTTTCTTTGTGTTATTCACATAAATGAGTGAGTTTTCAGAGAGCTGGCTGATTTTTTTTAGAACATAGAAATCAGCCATTTTGAATGAAAATCTTGTTAAATATGTCAGACACTGCTTTTTTTAGTAAAAAAATATAATATGCCTAATTAAAATTTTTATTACTCTGGTTTATTGCTATTATTCATATAAATTATAAGATTATAACAATAGTACAATGTACCCAGGTGTATAATCACTTTTGCCTTAAACAATATAAAGATAGAAATTTTGCTGATATTAAAAATTGGCTTTTTAAAAAGTTATAGAATTATACATGATCATGACAATAAAAAATCAAACTGTACAAAAAAGTATAAAGGAAAATTAAGATCATTTGAAATTCTGCCATTCAGAGACGACTAATGTTAACATTTTGGTATACATTCTTCTGGTTATATGTTAGATGTAAA